GCTAACGAGTTGAATATAAATTCTAGAAATATGAAATGTAGTCTATGTCAGAGTTCATTGGTTTAAAAACAATAAAAACTACCTCTGAACAGAGTTGTTGACCAGAATTCCAGTTTCGACGAGAATGATGGTTGTGGCTGATTACCTTTCCTCAGATGGCTCAAGGTGAAGGCTGCATGCCTCACTCCCGCCCCATATCCCTGCTAAGTCAAGTTTCTTTACCCCAGTGAATTCTCTTTGTTTTCATAATTTTAAAATATTAGGACACAAATGCAACACTTTAATAATATGTTGAGAGACTTCAGAATAAAGAATGATTACTTAGAATCAGTAAGATCCAGGTTAAATATTGAATACCAGCTGATTATGATCATATTACTTTGCCTTACTGAATCTTTATCTCTAAAGTGAAAATGAACACATTACCCTTTAGGACTCAATTTGGAGATAAATGAAAGTGTTTGCAAATACCTAACATGGAGAATAGTACAAAGATAGTGTCCAATAGCTAAAAAGTATTCCTATTAAAATTAATCCCAGATTTAAGGTAGTGATTATTGGAAACTGCTTGTTAGAACAGAGCCTAGTGATTTTTCAAACCTTATTTATTAGGACACTCCCAATTATTCATTTAAAATTTAAAGACAACTAATATAAGTCACAAATATTTATTGAAACAACTTATTTTTAAGTAAACTCTTAAATAACTCTTGAAAATAAGTTTCTACTTTAACAGCTTTCCAGAACTTTTCTCTTTTATTTTCTATTCTCAAGTGTTAATCTAATAATGTGAATAGGTGTGATAGAATCCAGAAACAATATACTTAAATTATAAAATCCGTAGCCTAATTGTTGTGGATTAAGACGATATTTAGTCATTCATTTTGGATTATATAAATACGGTAGTTAGTGATTAAACACAGTGGATAAAAATTAACTCATTCATGTAACTTTTATCCCATTTTGAGAGTATAGTTGAGTATAAACAACAAAGATGGGGTATTTGCCTTTATAAAACTTAAAAGCATAAGGAGGCTAAGATTTTGTAAGAGTCCAACTTCACTTCTTGAGGAAGTAACTCCTTTTGTAATACTTACTTAAGCAAGATTTCTCAGGTCACTGGCTGTTAAATAAACCTAGTTAAATAAGAGTAATGCGTGTTGAAGATTTAAGAAACCCTTACCACATACTACCTTAACTTTCCTTCTTTCCTGCTGAGAAGTTTCAGGTTCTCAGATATAGTGTGGTGTAAGAATGATTATTTATGTAACTTTTTTTCTCTGCCGCAAATAGCTTTGGAGCCAGACCCTTACCCTGCCTGTTCTCAATTTATTTGATAAAAATAACTTCTGTCGTCTTTATAGAGTTTATAGGAAACAACGTATGTGTGTGCACATAAGACATAATAGAAAGAAACAGTATGATCTTATGTATTACCAGTATGATATTCACATTTCTTAGACTTGTTACACATTAATAGTGTTAGGTAGTTGCTAATACTGTATGATCACTTTAAATCCCAGGTTTTCCAGCAGGAGACTTAAAGATAATTTAACGCGCCATGACACCCAGGTTCAGAAAACTGTAGTGTCTCAAACCAATGAAAGATGGGTAGGAACTACAGACAAATGTCCCTTATTATAGTTCAGTTTAATTTTAGTTATTTTTTGCTTCCATGTAAAAAGTTTAACCTCTGTTTAAAAAATAATGTATTACTTTTGAAAGTAGTAATTTTCTAAGAAACCTGAGAATATTACAAATAAGGAAAAAGGCCAATTTGATCACTAGACCAATCACACAATAGTATCTTTTTCAGAAGGGTGAATGAATTTCATATGGTGAATTATCTATTTAAATTTGGTTTGGCTAAAAACAGTAAGAAATGACAGTGACTCAAATGAAATATAAATTCTTTTCCATCTCATATTGAAGAATTCTAGAAAGTATCAGTCAAGTCAAGGCTGTGTTGTTGTCCCAAGGTATCAGGGACCTTGCTTCTTTCTCTTGTTTTTCCATAAAAATAGACTCCAATTGAAGTCCAAGATTACAGTTGGCACTATGATCATGTTGTAATCTAGCCACATTAGTACCTATTCCCTTTTAGGTACACTTCCTAGAAGTTGCACATCATTTTCAACTGGATTCCATTGTGCAATAGTTAGTCACATGGACACCTAGCTGCAGAAAGGCTATGAAATGTGTTCTTTATTCCAGACAGTTATATATGTGCTCAGGTAAATACTGAGGCATCCATTTTAATGGAAGAAGGAAAGGAAGAACAGTGTCTGCCAAAGTAAGTGTCCAGGAGTAAACAGTTCTACTGCCTAATAACTCTTTTTTTTTGTTTTTGGTCTTGCCAAGTATCTGCTGAAAACCTCCACCTTTAGCAACAAAGCTCGACCTAGCAGAATATTGGCATTGCTTCCCTGTTAGCAAATGATATCTAGGTATCAGTTCTTCTGGCATTTCATTCCTGGAATACATGGAGATAATTTTGATCTTTGTTTATACTCTTATAAATATTTATAAATATAAATAGGAAAGAGAGCAACAATTGCAGAAAACTTGTAAAATATGTAGTAAAGTGAACAGCTCTCTATATAATATTATATGTCATCTTATGAGTATACAAATATATATGTGAAACCTGTAGAAATAACCTTGGGGAACGTATGCAAAACTAGTAATGACTGTTACTTTTTATGTCATGAAACTGAGGTTGGTGATCAAATTGGACTTTATCTGTGAATGTCTAAAAATTTCCAATAAAACAGGGTATGTTGGGGAGGTGATAGAAATAGGGAGTAGGCTTATCACATGGAAACTCAGGAACTCTGGACTTGCTTAACTGGCTAGCCATTATCAAATTATGGGTTTTGATTATGAGCAAGAGAAACAAATTCTAATCAACTAAATAAACCAGGGAACTTATTGGAAGAGCACTGATTATCATAGACTCAAAGACAAAGTTGAATAGGACATAGTATTTTTAAGAAATAACTCATTGTAATTGTAAACCACTGAGATGTTTTTGGGCCTTTAGTAATTCTCTGTTGAAACTTCATAGAGAATTTCCAACATGCTGTGGTTTTAAACAAACCTTAGGCAGGAAATTAGGTGGAAATTGACCAAATGATTAGAAATTTATCCCATGAGCAATGGAGAAATAATACACATTTCTGACTAAGCACTTGAGAAAATGAATTTCATATTTTAGAGGTTTAGTGTTAAAGCATTGTTTAGGATATGTTATAATGAGAAAGACTCACTTTTAGAAAAAAAACAATGGCTTAAAAAATTCTCAAAATATCTGTTACTTTTTACTAGTACTAATTAGCAGTTGTTTTTCATGTTTATTTAGGAGTTTGGATTGTTGGTTCGTATTGCTATTATAAGCCAAGGAGCATAAAATTAGAGAAGCAAACACAGACAAGTTAGGATCAGTTTAAAGGATTATATTCCTGGATCATCAGTAGCTTCCATATTATACTTGCTTATATTGATTTAATGAAACCCGATAGCAATCGGTCTTTAACATTTCACCAAAAGCAATCACCAGGTCCAGCTGACCTCTTAAACACTTCTCAATCTATCCTTTCCTCCCTGTCTAAAACTTTGAATGAACTCCCTAATAAATCACTCCAGTGTTGCTCTCCTGCAGCTCCATCTCTCATAGCTGCTGAATATTCTTCCATAGCACAAAATTGACTATCTTCTTTCCTTGCATAAACCCTTTGTGGTTTAGCATCTTCTGGAAGACAAGTCCAAGCTCTGTCAGTAGCATGCAGGCCTGAAAGACATCACAGTCCAGAAGGTATAGAAATGAGTTCCAGGACCAGACTGCCTGGGTTGGAACTCAGATTCTGCTCCTACTAGCTGTGTGGCCTTATTAAATATCTATAACAGTATATCTAGAAAATGTCAGCTTTCATTAATAATATGTGGTTTTTCCCTCACTTCCTGCATTAACTTTCTGTTTTGCCATTACCTAAGGTTGCCTTCCAATTTTACATCTGTATTCTTTTGTACATATCATTCCTTTGTAGTTACTGATACCTTTATCCTGCTTCCAGAATGGCTGTCTCATCTTTTAACATTTTATTTAAAGATAATTGCTTTAAAATTTAAGAATAGGTGACTTTTCCTTGAGTAGGTAATGTATTTTTGTACAAACTCCTCTAATAAATGCTCTGTCCATATCTCTGTTAATAAAGTTATCACATAATATGCTATCATGTTTACACATTGGCTTACCTCTATGAGACCACAGGAAACTTGAGAGAAGGAACTGTGCCTTTTCTTCTTTGTGCCCAAGTATAGTCCCTGGTACATGAAAGGCATGTAATGAAGTTTATCAAATATATAGAAAATTGCTATATGAAGACAAGATTTTTCTTTCACAAATCATTCCTGATTTCTCTTCATGATGTGGTTCAATGCTGCTTGAGATCTTTGTGATAAATTTCCTTTAAAATTTATTTCTCTTGAATTCTTAATGCTTCCTTTTATCTGACAGATATCTCAATCTAGTTTTCTTTCTTGTCTTGATTGCATGTCTCTACTTAGAGATAAAATTAATTCTCTATTCCTCTAGCTGCACCCATTCAAGTTTCCTTAAATTAATAAATAAACTGTACTTAAGTTACAGACAATTTAAAATTTTTGTGGAAAGTAAGGAGTATTAAAATGTGGATGCTTCATGGTCATGGTATGATAAAAAATAAAATGGGCAAGCAAATGAAAATAATGTATCTTGCATGAGTATTGGTATAGATATGTGTATTTTTGTAGACTTGATTCCATTTATTTTCATATAAAGTCTATGTAACTATATGAGATTAAATAGAGGGATCTAGTAGACCATAAATAATGTATGCGTGTGATATATATGTTATAAGAAAATTGTCGCATGGAAAAAAGAAGCATGATGATTGGCTCCAGAGTGTGTTAAATGTATTTTTTAATCTAACATGTTATAACAGAAGACCTTCTTTTTACAGAACATTAACAAGTGCTGGAAAAGACCTGAAAGATAATTTTTTGAAGGCCCTGGCAGTGAGAGAAGAAGACAATCGCAATGGGAAAGTGAGCGTGAGTACATTTTAGCCCAGAGCTTAGAATGTATATGCTGAAGGCATTGTTAATATCAGCACATAACCTTTAATATCCTCCCTAAAAGGCCATTCGTGAATGATAACACATGACTATTATTTATATACTATAGGAACATAGGTAGTCTTTCTTTTTATTCCCATTTGCATCTGTATTACTAACCAAATGGTGAAAAATAATAGGATTCCAAATATCTGTAGCAGAGAAAATATGTATACTTGGCAGACTGGTTGTCATCTCCAACTTTGTGTTAGCCTTGGTTTGAAACAGTCTCTTTTCAGCCTAGCCTCCTTCTACACCCTTCAACTTACACTACCCACTGGAGCCTCCAGTGTTGATGTAGATATGTGTATTTTTTGTAGACTTGATTCATATCTATACTCAACTCCTCCTGCATGCATGACTTTATGGGACCTCTAGAAGATAGTAGTATTGGCTGCCTCATAGGACTGCTTTGATAGATGTGATAGAAAACATATAATGGAAGGACATAATTCTGAATCATTCAAAGAGAACATGCTTTTGCTTTTTTAAAATGTGCACTAGATTAAATATATTAAAATTTCCTGTATTTGGAATAATACTGGTGATAATCATCTTCACAAGTCTTGAGATATTCCAAATAAAATTTAATAAAAGAGACAACAAATACTGTTGAAAGAGTAACTGACTGACTTACAGAAACATAATCAGAAATACTATGATGAAAAATTTACAGCCACAGAAAAGTATGTGTACAAGGAAGTCTATTTTACCAATGTTTTCTCAATAAAAATTGGGATTTGCCTCACTATCAGGTCTGTTAAAAATTTCATATGTAGACAAAGTCTTCAATGTACGAGAGAGAGAGAGAGAGAGAGAGAGAGAGAGAGAGAGAGAGAGAGAGAGAAAGAGAGAAAAACTATGGTTAGATAATTGAATATAATGAGTCCAGACTTGATATAGGGAAAATTTTATTGGAGGAAATAGGATGAAGAGATTTTAAAAAGGTGTGAGTATAGATAAAGGCAAAGACTAGACTGGAGGTCTTGTAAATCATAACAAGAAAGTTAGGAGTTTATATGATTCTTATTATATAGCAGTAAGAAAAGTGGAAGAAAGGCAGAAAAATGTGATGCCACAGGTTTCCATATTAAGGACTTTCAAAAAGAAGCAAATGATTCTTAGTGCTCAAGCAAGATAAGAAATTAAGAAGATAAGCCCTTGTGTTCAGCTCCTTATAGATTGGTTTTGTAAGAAAAATATGCAACAAGAACAAATTTCATGCATATTAAATGTGGAAATCAGATTCTATACAATTGAAAACAGTGGCGTACACTTGGACAGTAGAATCAGCAAGTACAAACAGTTTGAGACTCTGAACCTATGTGTTTTAAACCACAATGGTATATGCTTCCTCTCAGAATGTCTTCTTTAATCTGGCTTTCCCACTCATATCTCCTCTGACAGTATACCACCCACCCTTCAACTCAGACTGGAAGCACACTTCTTATCTTAGGTTCTTTACTTTTTCTTACCTCATTTGAATGATCTACTAAGTTCTCAAAATATAAGCCAAGTCCACTCATGTATCACCATTTCAACCATCATTTATCTTGACTCAAACCACCCTTAAGTAGTATCTTAATAATTACAAAACCAACAAGCTTCTAAATTATATGCTTATGTAGTTTGTTGTTTGATGCATTTGTTTTCTGATCATTCAATTACATATTTCTTGTGCACCTGCCCAGTCTTGAAGTGGTTCTAGTCACTGGAATACTGGAGTGTTGCAGCATCAATGATTATAAAGAGCTTATATTTCAGAGAGGGAAGATAGAAAATATATAAGACAAAATCAATGGTTATAATTAATTTCAGTTTTGGATAGATACTATGCAGAAACTTTAGAAAATGGAATTAAAGAGAGGTTGACTAGAGAGTGGTTTGTTGCTTTACCAACTGTGCATAGGAAAACCATTTTGAGGATGGGACATCTGTTGGGACTTGAATGAAATAAAGAATTTAGCTGCAATTATGGGACAGATACCCCAAAGAGATAAGCTTTGGAGAATAAAAGACATCCCAGGAAGAAGGATCAGCAAGTGAAGAGTAGTCATGGCATATTTAAGAGATGGCAAGAAGACCAGAATGCCTAGGATGCAGTTAATGAAAAGATTCACACAAAGACATGATCCCAGAAAGGAATTTAGCAGCCAGATCATATAGATTTGCCTTATTTTTATATATATTCTTTTGTTATTGGAATAGAAACTTCACTGGGTAATCTGAATCAGTGAAGTGACCTGATGTGGTTGAAATTTTAGAAAGGTTTATATCACTGCTGTTGTGTGAAGTGAAGATGTGGAAAGTCATTCCAGAGCAGAGGCAAAGAGATAACTTGGTGGTGGTGGTGGTGGTGGGCGGGGCGGGGGTGGTGGTTCTTGTAGTAAACCAGCAAGAAATAAAACTCTCAAAACATAGTAGGGCAATTGACATGGAGTGAAGTTACTTAGTCATGTCTGTGTTTTAAAGGCAGAATAAATGAGGGTTACTTAAGGATTGGGTATGGAATAGCACAGAAAGAGTAAATTAAGATAACTTCTAGGGCTTAAGTGGGTAGATGTGGCACCATTTACTTTAATGGGAACTCTTAAGAAATGCATGATGTCAGGAATCAATAATGAAAAGGTCCTCTTTTTTTCTGTATTAATTTCATGATGCCTATTAGATAGATATCCAAGTAGAGAAGTTGATTGGTTACACATGTTGATTTGGAACTTAGGGGGGAAGTCTTAGCTAGACTTATTAATCTGAAAATTATTAAAGTCATGGACCCATAAGAGTTTGCTAGGCAGGACGTATAGGTAAAAAGCAAGAATTTATTTTTTACATGACTTTAGCATGCTTGAAAATTTAGAAATCTGAAATTTATGGAAGAGCCATCAAAAATTCTGAGACATAGCAAGTTGGAGAAAAAAATTAAGTATGAACAATACTATAAACATGAGAAGAAAAAAATTCCAAGAAGAGAGTGCTCATCCTATCAATTATTGGTGTTAGGTTAAGTAAAATAATGTGTTAGTTACTCAGGGCTACCATGACAAAGCACTACAAATTGGGTTGATTAGCTTTATCATCATGCTTCTGGAAGCCAGAAATCTGAGGAGTCTAGTAGAGACAGTTCCATACTTTTCTCCTAGTTTCTGGTGCTGTCAACAAGCCTTGACATTCTTTAGTTTGCAGCTGCCTTATTCTGATCTCTGCTTCTGGAATCACATGACATTCTCTGTGTGCAGTGTGTGTGTGTGTGTGTGTGTGTGTGTGTGTGTGTTTACTCTCTTTTATAAAAAAAAAAGTCACATTGGATTAGTACTCAGCCTAATTGAATATGTCTCAATCTTTATTTCATCTTTAACTTTGTCCCATCTAAAAAGACACTGTTTCCATAAAAGGTTTCATTCATAAGTGCCAGGACTTGAGACCTGAATGTATCTTTTTGAGGGACAGGATTCAACCCACAATAGATAATTTTAAAAACAGCCACTATTTTTGGCTACATAAATGGTACTGTTTACATTGGTGAGAACTTTTTTCAGTGGAGAGGTGTGGCAAATATTTCACTAGAGTTGATTGAGAAAAGAAAAATGTAAAGATAAGAAGAAATGACTGTTTTTGAAGATTGTTTTTAGTGAAGTGTAGCTTAGACTTTGACAGCTCTTTTGGGTCTAGAGTCAAGGGGGTTTTATTTTGTTGTGTTCTAGGATGGGTAAGGTTAACTAACCTAGGTTTCATATTGATGAGAATAATCCAACAGAGAGAGGCATATTGATGGTGTAGGGGACAAAGGAATGATTGCTGCAGAAAATTTCTTAAAAATGACTTCTTCGGGGGGCATGATATTCAGAGCATAGTTATTCTTTTAATTATAACAAAAATAAAGGCAAAAATTATAAACATGTCTATCAAGTAAGTGGATTTGGATGTGGAAAGATGGGCTAGCTCTGCTTTGAATGAGTCTATTTCCAAAGCATTATTGGTCAAAATTATCTTTATTAAATAATTATTTTTGTTTTCTAGAAAATCTCCCCAATTTAACTTTTATTGAGTATGCTAACTAGATAACATTTAATGTTAGTTGGATAGTTATCAATTTGGAAACAGGAATCTAGTCAAGAGTTATAGCTTACTGACTGAAAAAATTATGGTCATTGATTTGGGTCTTTAAATTTGCAATATTATTACACTTGGTAGTATATATGCCATTTTATCAAGGTGGTATTTAACACTTATTTTTCAATTTTCTTATCTTGTCTTAGAATGAACCCCAAATAGTTGCAAATTATTTACAACAGAATGTTTTAGATAGATTTCATTGTTAGGATTATAAACTTATTCAAAAGGTATTTATTAGCTGGGCATGATGGTGCATGCCTGTAATCCCAGCAACTCAGTAGGCTGAGGCAGTAGGATTGCAAGTTTAAAGCCAGCCTCAGCAAAAGTGACAGTCTAAAGCAACTCAGTGAGACCCTGTCTCTAAATAAGATGCAAAATAAGGTTGGGGATGTGGTTCAATGGTTGAGTGCCCCTGAGTTCAATTCCCAGTTCCTACCCCCCAGAAAAAAAGCCATTTATTAAATGAATATATTTTATTGAAAGTACATACCAGAAAATTTATATAATTTAGAATTGACTTAGCTGACCTGCATGACCTAATAAGTGTTCGAAGTCCAATTGGGTATAATCTTCTTTAAATTCTGCTAAAAATATTAGAAGATTTCATTTGCTCTCTTATACTCACAACTTTTTATTTTTAAGGTTAGTGATCTTAGCTTTCAAATGTTACATACTGTAATTGATTCTTGTCCTGGTTGACATGTTTTTCTCTTTGGTCAAATAATTTCAAAATTGATTGAGTAATTTTCTCCATGTAGGTCTTGAATTGACTCTGTTATTGAACCTGTAGCCCTAGAAACACCACTCTTCTCTGTCCTCATCCC